ATTGTCAGCTTATTGGCAGGATCCACAAATTTCTGTCCTTATTAAACTTAAAACTAAACACTATCAACTGTATATTTAATAGAAGCAAAAACTTGCCCTCCAGAGGATTTTTCCCCCTTCTTGACCAGGCCATTTTTTTGCGCTCTATAATTTTATCTGACAACTGCACGGTCATGCAACGCTGCACCCAAATTAAATTTGTCTTTTTTTTTTTTTCCCCCCCCCCCCACAAGTGGAGCTTTCTTTCAGTGGTATTTTGATCGCCTCTGTGGTTTTTAATTTTTGCGCTATAAACAAAAAGACTGACCATTTTAAAAAAAAAAAAAAAAAAAAAATTATTTTACTTTTTGCTCTAAAAGATATCCAGTAAAAAATGTAAAACACATTTCTTCATAAATTTAGGCCAAAATTTATTCTGCTCCATGTCTTCGCTAAAAAGATAAAAAAAATAATCCCAATACATGTACATTAATTGGCTTGCGTGAAAGTTATAGCGTCTACAAATGTCGGTATATATTCTAGAATTTTTTTCCAATAGTAATGGTGGCGATCAGCGACTTATAACAGCACTGCAGCAGGCATTCTGACACTGGGGGGGAACAGAGTAACTGCCACTGACCTCCCCAATGACACTAATACAGTGATCAGAGAAGCACTGACACTGTACTAATGACACTGGCAGGAAGGGGTTAACAGTATGTTGTCTGTGTGTGCTTTACTATGTAAGCATGTTGCTTTGTATTGCTCTGGTGCTGACGGGGAAGATCTGTATTGTTTACATACAGACCTCTCTCCCTGTTGGTGTTCCTCAGAGATCGCCGGTTGCCGGCGGGGAATCTCTGGCCGGGACCTGGTGATTGACAGCTGTAGCCGCAAATGGGCGGAAATACAAAATTGCATGTGTCTGTGTGTATATATATTTTAGTGCCACCCTGTACCAGTACTTCTACTATAGGGCGGTCAAAAAGCGGTTAAAGATGTCCAATAGCTCTACAGCAAATGGGTACGTGGGCTATATCAATAGCTCAAGTGCCATTTCTGAATAACAAAAAATATTCATGTCACTTGATAACATCTTGCAGTCCCTGTACAGTAGAGCTCAGACTAAAAGAATCAGTACAGAGCCAGCCAGATGTTCTGCAGTGATCATGAAGACTATGCTGTCCAACGAATGGTCAGCCGATAGCTAACAAAACTGACAAGCAGTGTTGTTTCATTCCAAAACTGAATTTGCTTCTGTTAATAGTTCTGTAAATACAATCATATAAACTGAAATTACAATGTTAGTACACATCTTTCACAAATGAATACAATGAACACATTCCTTACAAACAGCTACCTACAATCACATTGAATACATTGAAATCCTATCTAGCTATGTACAGAGGGGAAAATAATTTTGGTCCCCTGCAGATTTTGTAAGTTTGCCCACTCACAAAGAAATGAAGGGTCTCATTTTTATCTTACGTGTATTTTAAATGATAGACAATATCAACCAAAATCCAGAAAAAAAACACAATACAAATGTTATCAGTGTTGCAGTTCAGTGAGTAAAAGAAACATTTGATCCCCAAGAAAAAAATGACTTCGTACTTGAAGAAACCCTTGTTGGCAAGCACAGATAAGACATTTCTTGTTTGTTTCCAGGTTTGCACACATCTCAGGAAGGATTTTAGTCCACTCTTTACAGATCTTCTCTAAATCCTTAAGGTTTCTTGACTGTTGCTTGGTAACTTGAAGTTTCAGCTTCCTTCATAAATTTTCTATAGGTTTAAGGTCTGGAGGCTGGTTAGGCCACTCCATGACCTTAATGTGCTTCTTCAGCCACTTTTTTGTTGCCTTGCAGTATGTTCTGAGTCATTGTCATGCTGAAAGACCCATCCACGACCCATCTTCAGTGTTCTGGCTGAGGGAAGAAGGTTCTCATACAAGGTTCTACAATACATGGCCCCCTCAATGTGGCAAAGTCAGTCAGTACCTTTTTGGCAGAGAAACCGTCCCAAAGCATAATGTTTCCACCTCTGTGCTTGACTGTAGGGATGGTGTTCTTTGGGTCATAGTGAGCATTTTTCTTCCTCCAAAAACAGTGAATAGAGTTAATGTCAAAGAGCTGAATTTTGGTCTTGTCTTACCACAGCACTTTCTCCCTTCTCTGAATCATTTAGATGTTCATTGGCAAACATCGGATGGGTCTGTACATGTGCCTTCTTGAAGAGGGAGAACTCACAGGTGTTGCGGGATTTCAATCCATGGTGGCGTATTGTGTTAACAATTGTTTGGTAACTGTTTGACTGGCGCTGAGACAGCATTTGGATACAAAAATATTCCAAAACGCTTTTAGTGGCATTAGTTAGTTGTGCAACAGGCTCCATTTGGTTCAGTGGGTCGGTCTGTCAGGCTACAGATGGGTTTTTCCATTGAAATGAAAGGAGGCTATGGCACAATTGTTGCTGTGCAACTGAGGTGGGACTGCGTTGTTACATATTTTTCTTTACCATACATCCCAGCACACAGGGCATCTTTTCATATCTATTACAATGGGGTTATAGTGCCACCTGTATTTGAATGTTGGCAAAGGAAAAAAAAAGTCCTCTCCCTAGCTTCTTAATCGTTTAATCTGGGATTAGGAGGTTAGTTTTCTCTGTATCTCTGTGCTATCTACAGCTTTACTATGCCCAGAGGAATGGTACCTAGATCCCACTCGGGATCCACGGAGATGGCCTGTAATGCTGCCGGTTGGGACTGTACTCTGCGTAATAGGATCCTGTAAAGTGCTATATGGCCTTGTGGACCAGAAGGGTGCTATACAGGTCCAGGGCAGTGATTTGAGTCCCTGAAGGTCCTTGTGGCATGGCCCTCCATAGTGGGTGAAGAGTGCACCCTGTGTGGGTGGAGGGGGGGGGGTCCTCCTTCTTGCTTGGAAGGGTGAGTCCTCCAGCAGTAGCCCATGCTGATACCCTCTCCAAACGCCTATGCTTGTGTCTCCAGCAATTCTCATCTGCCATTGCTGGTTTACAAAACCAGCTTTCTGGAATTCTCCCCACCTTGGACCAGATAATTCTTCCTTAATAACAGAGAAGAAACCAGTAGAGGGCAAGGTAAAGAAACAACATTTTCCAGGAGGGTGGGAGTATTACTCATTTGAGGAATTACTCCAGAGGAACCCCAAGGTGTGGTTTATCTCAGACCCAGAAGGCTACTGTGAGCTTTCTTGCAGAAGTGGCCCAGACCAATTTAAAGCTACTGCTTCCAAAGTCCTCTACTTTAAAGGTTATGGGATTTGGATCACGGCGTCAACCACGAAATCCATCAATCCTTCAGGTTCATCCTCATTGAATGTTTTGTTCATGGACTGGGCTCACCCTTACAAGGTGTTTGTTCCATCAAAAAGATCTGCTTAGCAATACCTCATGGGAAGTGAGTTCTCTAAGAACTTGAATATGCCTTTTGGTGGATCCAGCAGTTTCCTATCTCCGTTGCAATAGTTGCTGTAGGGGAGTTCCAAAGTCTGAAGGTTTGGTCTCCTCACATGAAGAAAGGAAGGCATCATGATAGTGGGGAAATCGAGGTGAGTGGATGCCTGGAAAATATTGTGCATTCTCATAATTTTTCTGTGGACGCCTTTAAAAGGATTCCATTCAGCAACATGAGCAGGATCTTAAACTGAAGTGTTTCTCAAGGAAATTGCCCTGTAAAAGGCATGTCAAATACTTATCCTTTCAGAGGGAATGTTTATTTGATCCAGGATTGGATGTTTATAATCCATAAAATAACTGGGTTAAAGTACCCTGTTATAACTTAATAGGAAGGCAAAAACCTGCCGTGCTTTCTATCTTCATTCCTTACATAACTTCGAGCATGGAGCTCCAAATCCCACCCACAGTTTTAAAATAAGTCAGGGACTCCCAAGTCCTCCAAAACGGGATGAGTCCTGACCATAAAGGGGTGCCCCCACCTGTTTGGGTAGGGGATGTTTGTAGACCTTCACAAAGGTTTGGCAGAGTGAGATTTCACAGAATTCGCAACATTTTAGCTCATGATTACAAACTGGATTTCCAATACTTTCTCCTACCATGCTTTATGCGTTCAAATATTTCTTTGAATTTACAGTAAATAGTTCCTTTTTGAGCACCTTATCATATCCTTTCAAAGGTGGGTGATCAGCCCAGTTCCAGAAAACAAAAGGTTTCTACTCAAAGCTCCTTACTTTTCTGAAACTGAATGGCAGCGTTTGCCCCATCTTGGATCTCAAGGACCTCAACATGTTGGCCTCTCTCCAAAGGTGAGTTTTCCCGGCATCAGTGGACAATTAAGGATCCTTAACTGCATGTGCCGATTTTTCTCACCTCACAAAAGGTTTCTGTGGTTTGTGGTGGAAGAACACAATTTTCTGTTTGTGGTCCTGCCATTCGGTCTGTCCGCTGCTCCCATTGTGTTCACCAAGGTTCTAGCACCGGTATTGGGACTTAAGCATTCTAAGGCTGGTCATACACTATACAATTTTATGTCCAATTTCCTTTAGAATTACCTTCAACTATGTAGTGCAAGAGCCTGCCTAATTGGATACAATTAAAAGTGTTGTTAGGTTTGACCTCCTATTATAATTATATGGTTTTTGGTAAATCTAAATAAAAAATCTCAAAATTGTATACTGTATGGCCAGCCTTAGAGTATTCCTGTCTGATACCTGGACAACTTACTCCTAAATGAGCGCTCTTCCCCACTGGAGACCACTGTGTCTCGAACAGTGAAGATTGTGAAGTTTGGATGACTTAACCAGTTTCCTTATTTTGGACTCTTTAACCACCTCCTGCGCGCCATATAAGGAAATGACGGGCGCAAGGTGGTTCTCTCCTCGTCAGTTCTCTCTCTATGAGGACGTCATATGACGTCTTCCCTTTCTAACCTCGCATTCACGGCTCCGGGAGCGCGTGGCGATCGGCGGTGCGCTGTGTCCCTCGGACACAGTGGATCAACGGAAAGAGCCGACGATTTCGGCTCGGTCGTGATCAGCTGTGTCCAATCACAGCTGATCTCATGTAAACAGGGAAATGCCAGTTATCGGCATCTTTCTCCTGACGAGCTGTCACGCTGACAGCTCGAGAGGAGAGGAGAGCCGGTAATCGGCATTCCTCGGAGGGAACATGTACACTGATGATCAGTGTAGCCCCAGCAGTGCCACCTGTCAGTGTCCATCAATGCCAGCTGTCAATGCTCATCAGTGCCACCTGCCAGTGCCTACCAGTGCACATCAATGCCACATATCAGTGCTCATCTGTGCTGCCTTTCAGTGTCACCTATCAGTGCTGCCAGTCAGTGCCGACTGTCAGTGCCATATATGAGTGCTGCCTTTCAGTGCACATCAGTGATGCCTGTCAATGCCCATCAGTGCCACCTATCAGTGCCCACCACTGCAGCCTCATTAGCGCATATCAGTGAAGGAGAAAAATCACTTATTTTTACAAAATTTTAGAACAAAAACTAAGAAAAAACTTTTTTTTTTTTCAAAATTTTATAACAGAAAAAAACTTGTTTTCAAAATTTTCAGTTTTTGGTTTGTTTAGCAAAAAATGAAAAAAAACCCAAAGGTGATTAAATACCACCAAAAGAAAGCTCTATCTGTCTCAAAAATATGATAAACATTTCATATGGGTACAGTGTTGTATGACCGCGCAATTGTCATTCAAAGTGTGACAGCGCTGAAAGCTGAAAATTGGCCTGGGCAGGAAGGGGGTATAAGTGCCCTGTAGGCTAGTGGTTAATCAGTTCTTCACTGCCTTTTGTTTTAACATTAGATGCAATACTTCTGAATTGGTGTAACCTCATTATCTTGGGAACCATATCTGGACCTCATGCTGTGGGTACAGCCTATAATGTTGCTTCAGACAATGGACCCTGCTTGAGCTCTCAACTTGGCACCGATTTCAATGAGTGAAGTTCAGGGTGCTATTCAGGTCTAGCTCCCTGGTCAAATTCTATGGTTCCCAGACACTGAAGACCCCTCTAGGGGTATGTGCACCATGAAAGGTGAAGCCTGAACCCAAATAGGGATAGGCGACATGGAAAAGTAAAACATGTTTGTCCTGGTTATCGTACCAATACTGTAGCTTTGTAGTATGAGTGTTGTTAGCTTCATTGCTTGCAGTACACATATTTAAAGAGTAACTCCACCTTCGTTGAGAAAAAAATAATCCCCTTCTGGGTACTCAAAGGTACATTGCAAGGATTTAAACAAATGTTACAGAACCCTACCTTTTCTGTTCTGAAGAAAAAGCTGTTTGTTGTCTCCTGAATTAATCTGAACGTGAGTGATTTTTGATTATTATTAATCCGCTTCTACGCTTGCAGCGCTCTAATAGAGAAAGTGTCAGTGTCAGCATACCTTTAGAAGTAATTACAAAGTATGGCCAAAGCTTTTTTTTGGCTATTCTTCCCCTGTGGGTTACAGGAGTGCACATGCTTTGCTCTGCTATCACCCAGAGTTAGTCGACAGCAGGCTGACAGTTGATGTAGAAGAGCCACTGCAGACTTTGGAAGGAAATAAAAAGAGGTATCTCCTGCGCCTCCAGATGAACTACTAGAATACAGCAGCCAGCACTACTGGTGCCACAATCTAAGCACCCACAATAAGCAGGGAATGGAAGTAGAAAACAGTGCGGCGCTTATATAGCCTTACAGCCCTAGATGTAATACAAATGACTTATCACATATAACTATTGAGTGATATATGCGTGATACACACAATAGAGTGACTAAAACACAATGACATGAATAGTGTCCATGTGAAAAATAAAGTCATGCAGGTGTACACTGCAAATGCCAATCATCAGACAGGTGGAGTGCCCCCCTCCTCAAATAGATGGAGTGCCAATCTGTCGACACTACAGGTGCCAATCCTCAGACAGGTGGAGTGCCCCCTCACCTTCCTGCCCAGGCCCCACAGGACCAACGAGCCTTGGGTATATAATCGCTCTATACCCCTGAGCGTGGATGGATCCCTCTGCTGATGGATTCCCCGGATGGTAGTATTAGACTTCTCCTCCTCTTAGTTCCTATGCAGATCGTTGGTGGTATCGGTGGGTCTCCCCCCCCTCACGAGCACAAATGAGGAAAGAGAGCTTGCATAGTGTAAAACCACTTTATTCAAACAGTAAAAGATGAAATACGTACTCACATGCTTCTCAAACAAATCAGGCCTTTACACCACTCAGAGGGTGTACTGTATTCGGGACCAGGTGCACCAAGATGGCGCCCGCGCCGGATATAACGTCAGAACGTTCGGTCGGTGAAGCTCCTCCCCTGGCGTGTCTACGCGTTACGTCACTCACACACGTGACTTCATCAGGATAACGCCCATCACGGGTGGAGCTATATTTATCTCAATCGTAGGCCAATCGGTGATTCAAGTGGGCTGAGCTTCACCGCCATAATAGTGGAGCTCACCTAGTGTGTATAGCTGTCGGAGACGTCTAGTAACTAAACGGGCCCGTCCCTCTCAGATATGCTGATAAGTATTATGTCTAATTGGGATATTAGCTGGTCTAACATATGATAATATCATATGCAGGCAAAAACTGACATATATGAGACGATCATATCGATAAAAATAATTATAGGGAAGATATTTAAGAAAAACTGTAAACATAAAAAATTCTTTATTAAAATCATTCTGTACCATCAGGTAGAGAATATGTGGAATGACAACTACCACTGGCAAAAAATATGAAAAATGTATAAAAATGTATTACTATGGAGAATACATCTATTAAAAATAGGGATATCTATACCAAAAAGTAATAACTCACTGTGATAATAAAACCATATATATGCATGATTGTATATATAAACTGAAAAACCCGAAAGGTCATGTGTATACGGTACACCATCATCATGATAGCTTAATTAGACAACATCCTAGGCCCATAACCGCCACATAATCTTAGTCATGTTACATACATAGGCTAATACCTGAACCTACATCAATAAACCCAAAGTGAACATAGATGAAGAATACGCTTGACATTACTTTAGAAATTACTAATGAAACAGTTTAAGTCAAATTCTACGTTCAAACCTCTCGGTATTGAGACCTCATCAAGAAGATCCATTTCGACTCTGCCTGACTAATGGTTCTAATCTTGTTACTTCCTCTCCAGTGATTGTTACACTTCTCTATACCCCAAAGCTTTAATTTCGTTGGGTCGGCTTTTGTGATGTATAGCGAAGT